CAGGGACAGGGACAGAGACCGGGCGGCTCCCCCGCCCAGATACGGCAGCTACGACATCTACCCGAACAACGCGCTCAACTACCCCGGACGAAACTGCAACGGCAGCTCCAACAACTGCATCCCCAAGTGCTTCGCCGAGAAGGGTTCCCGGGTGCGTGCGCCCGCGCCGCGTCCAACGCTCTTTCCCAAAGCGCTTTACTCGGGATGAAGGGCACCTCAACGTGCTTCTCGGCTTTCCTTCGGTTGGGAAGCACTGATCCTCGTATTACTTCGGGCATTACTCGAGGGAAGGAGGCGTTGGTCAAAGTCAATTCTCGTGCCTTGGGAAAGGGCGTTTGCTTCGTGCTCGCAGCAGCGCGGCGAGGGACGGGCAGGCGTGACGGCCCTTCTGTTGCAGGGCCCGCCCGGCGTCCCGGGACTGGCCGGCCCGAAGGGTCAGCAGGGCTTCCCGGGCATGGAAGGCCTGCCTGGACCGAAGGGCGACAAGGGCGACCCCGGCCCTCAGGGGCTGCGAGGACCGAAGGGCGACCGGGTGAGTACAGCGCCGAGTGCGCAGCGCACCCACAGCTTTCACCCATACTTTAGAGGCGCGGGTCGGGCGCGGGCGGTGAGCTGCGCCCAAGTGCTCGTCGTCAGCGGCCACCGCGCGCGAGACGTGGTCAGTGAGTGATGTGAATTACAAAGTGCCGGAGCCGAAAAGAAACTTGTTCGGGATTGAAGATTGTGAGATCGACACCCTGCAATAAATAAACGTGTTCATTGCCTCCATCTAATAACGACGGTGCTATCTTACATCCAGTGTGTTCTGTCGTAGTTCCGTCAGAATAAGATTCAATAACCTTTTCATCACGATATTGTTACGACAAGAGATATCAACAAGTTTTGTCGAAAATAAAACATCAAAATTGAGTTCCAACATTGTTGCGTCATGTCTCTTCACATGTGACGTTTAGATAATCCATTACAGAATATGAATACCATTACACGTTTTTTTGTTGTTTTCTTTTTACGTTTCCAACAAAAGTTCAACGCAAAATGGAAAATGGTATGAGATTCGACAGATATATTTCCATTCTTCGATAAAATGCTTAAGAATAGCTGTTTGGAACGAACACAAAAATTGTAACAATTGCGAATCGTGGTAGAATTAAAGGAAATTTCACTGAAACGGGTAGTGTAAGGATGGTGCGTGTGTTGCTTGGTGGGTGAGCGAGTGAGGCCCGGAAGGAGGAGGAGGATGCGGGGGGTGGGGGGAGTTGCGCTCACTCCGCACCCACGCACCCCCTCCCTCGAAGGCTCCGGAGGAGGTCGCGTGAAGCCCCCCCCCCCTCCCGTTAGAGCTGAACTATTCCGTTCGCTGTCGCACAGTATCACTCCACGGGCAGCGCTAAGATAATTCAAATAAAATACCCCAATTACACAAATCACTGCGAATTTCTTCATAATTGATTAAATAGAAATGCCAATTTTCAATAAATTGTAGCCAATATTAACGGGGACGACAAATCAGAATTTGATATTTATTAATGTTAACAGTGTAAAAGCAAGATCTCATTGTGACTAATATAGATTCAAAATGAACTTCAAAACTAATTTATTCATAAAAAATACATAACTTCATCGGTTAAGAAAGATTAACATGCGCTATTTTCATTTATAAAATAGTAACCCAATATCCGAATAGTGGCAACTAGGGATGCGACATCTATGTCGATGTTGTCAAATCATCCACGTTTCTACAAAAACATCAATGTTTTAAACGTCGATGAATTGAAGCTGATGTTTTTTGAACATCGATGTTTTGTGCTCGATATTTCCTGAATGAAAAATTCTTATAATGACAATTGTGTAAAAGTTAAAATATGAAATAATTACTAATGGCGTTCGATGAAACCGAACGCGGTCATGGAGCAGACCCTCCCTCCGGATACTCTAGCACTTCCCTCGCACTCCTCCGCTCGAGGGGCGATTTCACTTTGTTCCCAGTTAAATTTTATTATCAACCAACAAGCACGGTCACCGTCAAATTATATCGAAATGCAAATATTTAAAAACACTGATCGATGCGCTTCAACGTGGATGTTGGCAAGTTGGATGTCGCATGCGAGATCGCGTCGATCGCCAAGGGATGAGGCAACGCGAGAGGAAGATACGCCCCCCCCCCGCCCCCCG